CCTCTAAACAGCTTTTTTTTTGCAAAACAAAACAAAAAGCGTACCCCTAACGGGCCACACTTCTCGCAAAAAAAAAACTATTATCAATAACAACAACACGAGACACGAGCGAACACCTCCTCAACCTCTCACCAGCTCCTTCCGGAACGCCCTGTAGTTCTTAGTGACGTCATCGGGCTCCACGCCAGCCTTCCCCTTGACCACAGGGAGCGTCTTGAGTCGGTCGAACGCATCGTCCGAGTGGAACGCCGCCATCACGTCTGTCGCGTCTCGCTCCTTCAAACAAAAAAAATCAACAGGAAAAGGCACGGGAACGCCACAAGGCTGCGTTGGCACACAGAGAGAGCTTTCGTACTACACAACCCCCCTAACCGTGGGATTCTGAGCCACCTCTGGCAAAGTAGGAAGGACTGAGTGGTCATCGGTGATCGGTCCTGTGGGAACAGCAGTGTTCCGTTCTCTCGAGGACGCGCAGCCGATGGTCTAGCCGCCGAGGAATGCAACACACAAAGGTACGCCCCCCCTTACCCTTGCCGTACATCAACCCATGGCATATCTGGTTTGGCACAGCAAACGCAAGCATGATGGCAAGCTTCTGGTCCATCCTTGCTACGGCGAAAACCCGACATATCTCCCCGTCCCGGCCTTGTACGAATGCAAGGTCTATGGTCAACTGACTACGGCATGCGTTCCCAAGAGCACACCACCAGTCCGACGTACGCAACAAAGGAGTCGTTACGGGATTCCCCGTGGGAAAATAGGCGGCACCTAGTATTCCCATCCCGATAACCAACTGGCTTCCAGGAACAACACAGGCTTCAAGTGTTCAACAGGGTGACGAAAGAGAGAGCCAGTGAGAGCAGCTCGAGCAGCGGGACAGATGGTACATCACGATATCATGTTGCTGCTTCCAAGCGTTCACACAGAGAAATGCGTTGTTGTTCGTCGAAAGAGGTACAAACGAAAACGAGAGTTTTTTTTTGTCGGCTTCCAACATACACCGCCGATAAGTGCATCCTTGCGGGTGTCCAAAAATAATAAAAAAACGAAGCATGGTAATGTAACGAGAGGTAGAGTTTTCTAAGCGATTGTATCCCGCTACCAATACGCATACACAGAAGCGATCGATGGGCGGACGAATACGGTTGTTTGTCAAACACTATTCTTCCGTGGCCCATATTCCCTCCTCTCCTCCCTTCTCACGGGCTAGAAAAGAGAACGAACCGTCCCATGCTTTCCTTGACACGCATACAACCACGACCTCGAAACACCGTCAACTACACGAAATGCTTGACAAAACTATCAGGTGGCCAGTACACTCGCGCCCCGCAAAACTGGGAAGCGACATGAGCACGACATTTATGCGTACGCGGCGAGGAAAACGGGGGGAGATTCCATCGTCCACCTGGAATGTCATCTATGTCTCTTACCGCGAAGCGATCGATCCAGTGCTCCCCTGATGGATGAAGCTTCCGCCAGCCGGTCAAGTCGTAAACCGCGTCTCCGAGCTGAGGTTTCATCGGCACAGCAGCACAGTGGTGACGGTGGTGGTGATGGTCGGTTGTAGTTGTCGTCGTCGGTTGTCCATGTTTGGAAAGGAGTAAAGAAAAAGAGTTCGGAGGAGTGGAGACAAAAGGACAACAGAGGGAGGGAGGTGCGGGGGGGGGGGTACTCATAGTCGTGCATGCCGTAGTCGTTAGACCATTGACCTCGCATCCCTACAAAGCCGGGACGGAGCACGCCGGGTTCTCACCGGACCAGGCTCTCACATCACCAAGCGCGAAGCGCCGTGAGATATTCGGCGAGTCGCATGAAGGGTGCGCTGCATCCTGCTAAGGGTTTTCGGCATCTTGTGCTTACTTCCTTGCGTACGGATGACAGCTGCGTATGAATTAATTTATTTTCTGGTGCTTTCACTTCTTGAGACAGTTGTAAGCACTGTGTAACTGCCTCGAGGGTGCTTGACCATTTTAGTACAACGTGACGCGATCATCCCCCTTGCGCGGAGCGAGGGTTCTCCACCCCGCACAACAT